TGGAATACTTAAAATAATATCTATATTATTAACTCAGANCGTACTTTCCATATACAGTGTCATTTTTATATTATAACCAGTGCTCGAATTGGCCAAAAATAAGTAGGGGAGCTCAACTTAACAATTTGAAAACTGCGTCCCTAGCATTTTGAAGACCTTTTTTTTTTACTCATTACTTTATTTAGTATGTATTAATAAATTATATTTCATTATCATACTAATATTTTAAAAAAAAAAAGAGGTGGTATTTTCCACCGTCCTCATAAAAAAAAGTAGTTGGGGTGCGCAAAAAAATTTAAAAAAAAGTAGAGGAGCTACGTCCCCCTGCGCACCCTCCCAATTCGAGCACTGATTATAACCCACTAAATTACTCTATCACAGAAGAAAAATAATATAACATTATTTGTTTGGATACGTTTGTTACATATATTATTCTTGAATTATTAGCTATGTATTACTTTTTAAGTTCATCATCATAGCCTTATAAGGGTATCAACATTTTTTTTTTAATGAGAACACATATTTTGAGTATAATATATTTGAGATTTTATTTTATTAGTACATGACATTTTAATTTTTAACATAACTTTATTCGATATAAAACTTTAATGTTTCAATTTTTATAGATAATATAACATGTATATTATACGACGGATTACAAATACAGGTAAATAGCTATTTTTGTATATCAATACATAGATACGGAGCGTTTATTGACAATTATGTTTTCTGTATTGCTAGTTAGTATATTTATAAATGTTAACTCACAACAATGTACCTTACAACCACACTTCAAGCATTTCTGTTGATAAATACAAATGCTATTTACTATTAAAATAAAATTTAAAACATTTATTAAATTCAAAACATGTGTTCCCATTTAAAAAAACAAGTTGACACCCTTACAAGACATAAGGGATGAACTTATACTTGTAAAATCTTATTATATTTACTATACATTTGAACAAAAATAACGATTTTTCTGTATACCAAATAATACATGTACACGTCCTATCTTATTATATACTGAATACGCCTAATGTAATACCTCATTAACAAATGTCAACCTTATACTCAATACTTCTTACTATATTCTCTTTTTACATTTTCCTGATTTTAATAATTATATTTTTAATATATTTTTGTTACACTGATTCTGATGTAATATTTTTTCTGCAAAACAAACCCGACGTAGCCGAGTACTCCTATCAGAATCAGTGGCCTACTTATGATGACTACCCGAAGAGACTTGTGCGCCGAAGGTCGCGTAAGGCTCGTAGAGCCCCGGGTCTGGGGCGGAGCCTCAGCTAGGCGAAGCCTAGTACATTATATAGCTAATAATTCAAGAATAATATGTAACTAAAGATAACCAAAAATAATATTTAAATCATTTTTATTCTGTAAATAATTGAGTGTGTTATTTTTAAAAATCAATCCATGGTGTATTACCATAGGAAGTAGAACTTTTTATACTTCACGTCATTTATTATTATATTATTGTTATATATTTTTCAATGTATTAAAAAATTAATAATTGTCAATAATATATTTTTATAATTATTATTCACTTTATTATTCAATGAGTTCTAATTAAACTATATTAAATACAATATTTGTAGATATGGTCGATAATATATACATAGAAATAAATATCGATGATCCTGAAATATATTATTCAAATGTCAAATTAAGTAGAGGTAGTGATCATACTTTATTATTAAAAAATCATGATCTGGTTGTGGCATCAGAGAAGTTATTAAAAAGTTGGATGAAAACATTCCAATTGGTAAATTTGCATATAATTATAAATTCATAATTAATAATTACTCATAACTTTTAGCTTCGCAACTTCCCTAATAGTAACGTTATTTTTATATACATGAGATTCTTTTTTATTGTTTTCCAATTAAAAACTAACCAAAGTTTACTCATATTTATTACTAGTAGGGGGATATGAAGCCAAAATGGGTAAACGGTGTAAAGCTCGTTATCTTAATACTCATCGTACAGATATTGTCACTACATGCGACAATCTTATTTTATATTATACTTTTTTCATTTATTTATAATTTCATAATTTAATTTAGTTGCTTTTTGTGTAAAAATAAACATTTAGACAAAATAACATTATCTACTACACCATATTATCCCAAGTCAAAATGTGACATTTTTTGAATACATTAGACACATAATAAATATTTTAAAAAACTTAATCTTGTTTAAGATATTATATGTCTTAGTTTTTAGTATATTATTTTTCTGACTTAAAATAAGTTAAGATTGAGTGAGCAACATACAATTTTACGTTATTCTGTCTGATCCAGCTACGGTGTTGTCACCCATGTGACCTCCCGCGGCCATTTCAGCTCCTTCTCAGCTACACACGCATTATCGTTGTGGTGTATAGTCCAACAAATGGCTAGCGTCGAATACCCATCGCAATAATTCTTATTATCAATTATCATTGTGACACCTCCAATAGCTCATTGTTCATCCGGACTATCCACGCCTCAACGCATCAAAACGACAGTGAGATCATGTTTTGTTTCTATTTAATTTCAATCTTCGATATTTTAAATGCCCAGTGTTTTACGCACTTTAACATTTAAAAAAAAAGTGTAAAATTGTTTAAATAAACGGCTCAACGTTCTCAAACCACAAACTTTAGTGTCGCCTACATTTTTTTTTATTATGCGCTTATTACTATTGAACCAATTGTGTGTCATATACTTTTGTTTTCATTACGAAATTTTATATAGAAAAATAATTATCTAATAAATTGGTTAATTTAGCTGTTATTCAAAATAGATTATAATACAAATAAAAACTTCATGGAATTGTTTTTTATTTAGAGATATAAAGCCTTAAATGTAATTTGAATAATATTTAAAATAAAAATTTAAGAAAAATAGAATTTAAATTTTAGATAATTAAAGATTACAAATATTTTAAACAAGAACCAGTAATTTTCGGTCCATATAAAGAATTGGAATTTTGGAGAAATATGCATGTTAAGTTTGTTAAAATTTATAAGATAATTATGAGCTCAGTCAGCAAATTAGCGGAAAAGGCCATTCTACAAAATAATTCAAGCCTAAAAGAGGTTTCTTTTTAATTATCATTAACAGCGTTTCTCAGCTCATGGTATCCGTATTATTAATGTTACAACTCATATATTTGACATGGAAAAAATTTCCTTAAAATCGAGTTTATACAAAAAATTTGTATTGTTTATTTATCAAACTATATATTATCATAATTTTATAGTCCATTATTAAGGATTTTGAAATCCTTAATACTAAAAAAAAATTGTACATTGTATATAATTTTAAGAGGTTAAAAAGTTTTTAGGTTCATAGAATAATTACGATTTTTTATTGGGGAGGTTGTATGTATAAGATATATTATTATATTTCAAGTTATATTATTTTCAGAACCTTCCTTAGAAATTTATTACAATGTATAACTTAAAATTCTTAAATAAAATGTTGAGAACCGCTAATCCATCTTAAGCTCATAAAATGATTTTCTAACAGCCTATTTTTAGCCATGGGAAATCATGAAAGGAAGAGTTATACTATTCAACAAAGAAATGGTAGAAACTTTAAAATATTTAAAACCAATCGAAAGTCTTTTTGCAGGATTATATATAAGTGATACTCAGGCAATTAAATCCGCCATTCGCGACATCACTATTGCTTTACCATTAGTTCGATCTTTTTCTTCTCATTATACTAGTAAACGAAGCATGACTAAACTTTTGTTGATGTGTATCAATCAAATAGTATTAAGTTGTATAAATTATTTAACTAACAACAAAACTACTACAATATGGAATCAATCCAAATTACTTATGATTAAAAAGTTGAATGATTGTATTAATTTGTACGATGAAGTATTGAAAAGTTATAATGATATGAGAAACAAAACTAAAAGTGATAACCGTGAAGAGCTTATTTTTTCACATGAAACATCCCTCGAAAAACTTTATTTATTTGTCAATAGAATGGCAAAGGTAATGAAGTAAATATAAATGCTCACGAGTTAATTCATTTATAGAGGCTGATTCTTTTGACGCTAACCACTCGATTTCTCTTAAATAATAATTATGCCAAAAAAATTATTTTAGGTATTTTTTAGTTATCTATATATATATATATATATAGATAACTAATGCTGGTTTTTTTTTAAATGAGAACATTTATTTTTAACTGGCTTGACTGGTTGATAACAACCCATTATTTCGGATGTTATAACCATTTTAATATATAGACTGGAGTTGAGGTACGAATATGACCTTATTTTCATTAGACACAATTCTGATCAGCCATTCTTTTTTTGCCTATGTATAAAAATCGTCAGTCATTTTCTTAATTAGACAATTGATTAATAATTATTAATTAGGCTAGTTAAAAATATGTTCTGATTTAAAAAATAAAGTGGACATCATTATAAGGTATAAATGAAAAATTTAAAAAGTAATTAATAACTGATAAAAAAAATATATATATAGATATAACTAAAAAATACCAAAACTAATTTCTTTGGTGTAATTATTAATTTAAGAGAAATCGAATGGTGTTTAGCATCTAAAGAAACATTTTCTATTATCATAAAATATTAAGAATTTACAATTAAACGGATTTATATTCATTGTAATCTACTACATGTTACAAGAAAGTTGAAAAAATCTGAAATCGGACCAAATTCTATAAGTTTTTAAAATTCATCGCTTATCATCACATAATTCATTTCGTAAGAAATACCTTAATTTTTATTTTTTAGTCAATTTAAAAAGATCCAAGATTGTGCAATTTTATTGCATACAGAAATATTTATTATAGAAATATATTTGGAATATATAGTAGTATAGAAATATTCTTCGTATTAGGGAGGAATAAACGACCGTTTCACCCCAGTTAAAAAATATTACTAAAATTTCAATACAACTAATAAAATTGTGTATTAACTAATGATGTATTTAAATAACTTAGTAAAATGTGTATAAATAACTACTTAAATTATTTTGCTAAGAGATTCCACTCACAATAATTCTCAATAATTTTACTTTTATACTTTCTTTGGTATGTATTATAAAATAGTGAGTGATGCAATGTAATGAACCATTTAAATGCTATTAAGCTCTAAATTGAAATTCAACCTACCGTTGTGAACTGTCAAATTGGTCTCCAAACAGTAGTTATACTCGTTGAAAACTCTATGACCACTACTATAAACTATTAGGATACTATTGATACATAATAATAAATTATTGAAATTTTAATTACATTAAGTTAAATAATTTTTCTATTTATAAAAAATGTGTTCTGAAAAGTTACAAAAAAAAAAATATTCACTACAATTAGAAATCAGCTATATTATATATAACTATTAATTATTTAATTTTTTAGATAAAAAATGTAATTGAAACTTATAGACGTTATATGGTATTAAGTTTGTCAAAAATTTCAGGAATCAATCAAATTTTTGAAAAATTTAAAAATACTTATACAAGTTTTACGAAAATTTCTTATGACATATTTCAAGTAGAGGACAATACTTTCGATAACGACTGTGCAATTTTCCACAATAATATAAAAGAATGTGAAGATGATTTTTCAAAGTTTTTTTATGATGTAATTCAAAACTCTCAGGATTTTACAAATGTTATGAGAGTTTTAGAGAGTTTTGAAAAATTAAATCTAGATTGCTTGAAAATTGAGGATGCTTATAAATATTTAATTGAATCTCACTCCGAAGATCAAAAACATTCTTTAAAAAATGTTATAGTTAACTATAGAAATATTTATTCTTTGTATAGAGCTAAACCACCAATTGCGTGGAATATGCCAATGATAACTGGGCAGATGATTTGGATTGCGTCAATTCATACTAAAATTGAAAAACCTATGAATTTTTTTTTGGTATCTGTTTTTAAATTAAAATTTCATTTTTATATACTAAAATTTTTATTAATTCTTGTTTTAGACCAAAAGTCCTAATTTATGGAATAATCTACGGTATGTTAGGATAATTAAATCATATAACTCATTTTGTTTTGCTCTGAGAATTCATGAATTACTTTTATATTCAAGATGGTATAAAATAGCAAATAAAGTAAGCCAATATAAGTAAATAACTTTTTTGTATTGGATTTCAATGGTTTAGTAAAAAAAAAAAAACCGTGAGCATGTTTTCTAATAAATAACTTAAAGTAACAAGAATTTATACTTGTGGCTAATTTTAAATAACTTAATACCAATACATTTTATTTTTCGTTCTTCGCCCACCAAAAAGGAAAGTTCTTAATTTATAATTTATGTATATGATTCTGTTGGGGGTTATAATTAATTTTAACTTCCTATGTATGCTTAACTATTTACGTTAAGAAATTTTAAATGTTCGAAAGCATAAATTTTGTTTTATGTTAATTCGTTTCCTAACATAACCATATCATAAAAAATTTAATGGATTGTAGTTAAAAGATTCAAAAAATATTCCTCTTTTGATAAGAGATCCTAAAACAAGAAGATATTACTGCACATTTTCAAGATTCCTAATAGAAACTTTAAATGAGTCGTATCATATGCTCTATAGACAACTAACTATACCAGAACGTCTACAGTTCCTTATTCAGCGTAAAGATATAATTTATCAAAGACACGCTTATGCTGATTCTTTAGTCAAACGATATAACCGTATGAGGTAAGATTTTTTTCTTCATTACTTTTGATTGTAGTAATTTTTTATGAAAAAAAATGTAATTAAAAATTAATTTTATATAGAATATCAATATTAGCTTTGTTGCGTAACTGTGATGAGATTGGTATTCATTTGTAGTCATTTTATCTTCAATGCGAATCTGAGAAGATATTAATTTTACTATAATGTGTTTTTTTTTTTGTGTGTGTCTGTTACCAATTTTTTTGAGCTCTCACCGAACTGATTTCTTTCAACGATACGCCAAAAGATCATAAATAGTATCTAGTGGAAAACATTACCCTCAAAAATAGAAATAATTTCCACTTTATCAATGAAAAATTTACTTAGCTCACATTTTCCATATTGACATTTAAAATCATACATTTTAAATGTTTTTAAAGAATTTATTGTCGAATTAAGTTTAATATGATAATAGGTTAAAAAATAAAATAATTTTACTTTGTCATATATTCATTTTTTAACTTTATTTGTGTGTTACTAACAGTCTATAATTATCCAAATTTTTTGGTAACATGTTGCTATATAAATCATAAATCTAAAAAAAAAATGATTTTTATTTTCACCAGAGTTTAACAAAAAATTTTAACAATTATAATCAAATTTTATAATACACTCAATTGAATAGATTTTTTTAACAACATTTTGATTAGTTTTTTTAGTTAAAGTTAATTATTAAAATTAATTATGTTCTGAATATTTCGATTTTAATGGTAACAAATTCAACTTTTTTTATAATAGTATATTTTTTACTCTGATGAAATTTTTTTGCAGACTATTTGTATAATAAAAAAAAAGATATGTGTTTAGCGTTGATATTGGTAACATTTTTCCGAAATACATATCCGCGAATTTTCAGTAATTTTTTGTGGCTTTTGAGTTTAATATTTTTTAGTTTTTAAATTAATAATATTTTTAATATAGTTTTAATTTTACTTAATTCCTTTATTCATAATTAACAATAAATTATTATCCAAAAAGTTCTGTGTCATTCCCTTTAATTTTTATACACGTTTTCCATAAAAATAATAACTACTTTATAAATATACTTTATACTTTTATAAATTCTACGAAAAAATTACAATACTAAATTATTAAATATCAATTTCATACTACTAAGCCAGTCAACGAAGGAGTAATTTTGGCGAATGGCAGATAAAATTCCAAACCAAATTTTTTTTTTTTTAAAGTTGAATTAAGATATGTATATAAAGAAAACAACGTTATATATTCATTGTAATTTTAAATTTTAAGTTCATTGTGTGATCGACTGATATGAATGATAAGAGGATGTATACTCTTATCATCATAGCAGTCGACACACATGATATAGTTAATGTATTACAAATTACTTATTTTTCTTTTGCAACTCTTAAATAATTTTAAGTATAAAATCTTAATGAATATTATACTATTAATATTATAATATAAACTTCTATTGTTGTTTTCTTTACATTTCAGGTAATGCTTTTCTTTTATTGTTTAAATAATAAATATGTATAAAAAAATAAAATATAACTTTACATTTCAGTACAGAAACGCAACTTGGGTTTTTATTAAAAAAAAAGAAGGGATTAATCCAACAAGATTATAAACTCCATTATATGTATAATGACATACTAAAAGTCCTCATCGTTTGGACTTGAGCTTTTTTTTACAGCCTCGCAAAAGTTCAAAAATATGAGCTTTTTTCATTTTCTCAAAAAATATTTAACTTACAAAAAAAAAGTTTCGTACAAAAGTTGTTTAAAAGACAATTTTAAACAAAAAATGTATCTTATATTTTTTCACTTAAACAAATATTTTTCGAGTTACATTACATTTAATATGAGTACTAAAATTTATTTTCCAATTTTTTTCATTTTACGGTTACTTTTTATCATGTTATATTTACATTAGACACAATGTTATAAATGTATATGAGTGTATGTGTAAGCTTATTTATTTATAGTATCATTAAAGTGTAGTGTATATTAAGATACAACCAAAAGAGTAGGTAATTGATTTGACGCTATATTGTTTAAAGCCAACTAAACTCTAAATTGTACATTCCCAAACAACAATTATATTATGTCAATTACCACCGGAATTTCGACTAATCTTTTTCTTTTTCTTTGCCTTAATCCCAACTACTTGTGGGTCTGCCACCCTCATCCTAAACTTCCATTTGACACGATCTCCCACATCTTCTATGCTCACATCAGCTGTCCTCATATCGCATTCAATAACATCCCTCAATCTCTGCCTCTTCTTTCTTGAACATTCATTTCAATAACTGATCTTACAGCTTCCGATTCTTCTCTCGTCATAACATGACTAAATCATCTAAATCTATTTTCTCTCATCTTATCCACGATTGACGCTACACTTATACTCCCTTTTATATGCTCGTTCCTTATTCTATCTTTTCTAGTCACTCCACTCATCCAACTAAGCATTTTCATCTCTGCTACACTCGTTCTCTGCTCTACTTTCCTATCAACCGCCCAAAACTCTGAACCATACATCATAGCTGGTCTCACTACAATTTTGTAGAATTTACCTTTTAGTCTCATTGGAATTCTTTTATCGCATATGACACCAGAAGCTTCTCTCTACTTCAACCACCCGCACTTAATCCTGTGTCTTACATTTTCGTCAATACCGCCGTTCTTTTGCAACTACTGATCCAATCATTAACTAATGTAACTAGTTGGGTTCAAAAATATAATAAATATTGTACTTTTACATACATTTTTTTTTTATAGAAATATGATTCCACCTGTATTTCGAAATCTTATCAATTTTGAATTTATGAAATTAGATAAAAGTTTATTTCCTATGATGTCAGTTGTTACGTGGTCATCATATTCGGCTATGGATATAATGCTCGACATAACAAAAAAATTTGATTGTACAGAAAAGTATTCCAAATGGGTAAGAAAATTTTAATTTATTTTTTAAATTATTGCAATTTTGTATTACATTAGAACGTAAAAAAAGTATCAGTTACTTATTTTCATAAAAACGTGGAAAATCATTAAAAATGTCTGTTTTTGCGCCTATGCGTAGAGTAATATCTGCAATATAAAATCAATCATGAAAATGAATTTAAATACATATTATTGTTATTGCATTGGTGCCTCTAATTACAGAAGTAAAAAAGATTTTAAAGTTTTTTCAAAAGAACATAAAAAAAATTTCATTTAAATTTCTCGTGATGTAATTTAATAGTTATAATCTTGGTTTTTTTACTAGCTGTGTATCAAATTAATTTTATGTGTCAACGCTCAAATTCATTTTCATGTACATCACTTAATTTATTTATTAGTAAAAAATATTTTGCTCATAAAAGTTTAATATCAATTTTCCTACTTTTAATATTATTTTTAATTTTACGATTTTTTAGTTATTAAATGATTATATCAGGTTAGATGCTTAACTATTCTTGTAATTTCAATATTTATCTTGAGTTGATTTGTGTAAAATATTTAATTTACAAAATCTAATTCAAATTTAGATAGTTGATATGGACATGAAAATATGTCAAATAATGAATTTGGTAAAACAATTTTTATTAATAAGGTTACCTAGTGAGGCAAAAATTATAAATGAATTAGAAAATATTAATGCAAAGCACCAAGAAGAAATTATTAAAAAAATTGAAAAGTTTTCAAAATCAGCAGAAATTATTTTCCACCAATTGATGAATACAATTTTATCAAGAATAATTAATCTTAGTGATGAAAAATACGAATGGTTTGATATTGAAGAAGGCCTTAAACCTGTAACTGAATCTGATGGGCCACCAACATTTGATTCATTTAAGGGTAAATATCTAAATTTTCATTATTATATTTCATCAATTAGAAAATTAGTAACATATTAAATATTATACAGAAGAATCCTATCCACCTGCAGCTCATCCTAAGATAAAACAAGTTCAAGATTGGTGCATGATTATTTTCAAGTCATACAATTTTCAATTCACAAAAATACTAATAGAAACTATGAAAAATTCATTACATCTAATGGCGATGGGATTATCTTATATCGAGTAAAACAAAAAAATAATATTTTTATTCTTACTGAATCATCATATTATATAATAAAACATTGATTACTAGCCAATGCTGGAAAAAATATTTAACGGTATCTGATTTAAAATATTCTTTTTTTTTAATGAAAGAACTCGACGTTATTATTCTAGAAAAATTATTCGTGAAGTTAAACTAATATTTTGTAATATACCATGAGTATTTAACAATTTGATCAAAAAGTCTCATTCCTACAAGTGTTTTATAATTAAAAACGTGAAATTTTTACTAAGACTACTCAGAGATATTACACCCGAGAAAAGTGGAAAAATCCGAAATCGGACCAAATTTCTACTTACGATGAACGTTTAAAATTTATCGTCTATCATTCTATTATATAACAAAATATTTAATAACAAATAATGATGGGAAAATTATTAAATTTAATCAAGTCCACGTGCATAGTTATTAGTAAAATATGATTTTTTTATGAATGCAAATTTTGTTTAAATTTCATGATAGTTTAAGTAGTCTTTACTAATAACACAGCATTCAAATATAGTATTTTATGATTATCAAGTTTTCTTTCGCTTGTTGTACTAAATAGTTATTAGTAGTTTATTATGAAGTATAATTTTGAATTTATCTAGATATTTTGTAATCATATGTTATGCATTTTTTAAATTTCTATATTGTTATCATTATTAATCAATAGACGAGTAAATCACCCTGAGTGGACAGCAATTATAAAAGTAAAATTAACTTTATATCCAACTCAACCTACTTATACACTTGAACTTACACCAACATGGTCTGAAGTTAAACAAACAATCGATAGAATAACTACGGACGCATTAAAGTTGTCTGAAAAACTCACTCGATGGGGGTTTAATAATATTATTCATAGAGTAATTATTTTTTTTTATATATAAATTATTAACTACATTACAAGGATATTTGTTTTTAAAGATAAAAAAAAAAGAAGATTTCAGTTATAAAAAAGAAATTGTACGCCATAAAGATGTTGAAAGTGCCACTAATTCAATAAAAAAAGCGATTAGACCTATAAAAGGAGAGATCATTGAATCATTGTTAAATGTATTAGAATAATCTTTTATATTATATTAATAGTGAAAATAATCAAATTCTACAATTATTTATGATTAATACTGGTACTTTAATAAAATATGTATTTAATTTTCAATAAAAGAAAAACAAAAAGTATTTCATCTGATTGCACAAAAAATATATACAATGGATTAATGGATTAAAAAAAAATGTTGATTTTTATTTTAGAAATATAACTACAAATTTCGAAATGTATGGGTTAATAGTGCTGAAAAAGAAGTTAAAATTAATGATTTTTTAAAGACAACAAACAAACTAGCTGATATACGAGCACAGTTTGAAGACATAGCTGTGAAGGAAAATGAAATAAATAAAGAGCCCGAATTCGTTACAATCGGCCCATTAGAAATAGAACTAGGTAGTTACAAAATTAATGGAATACGTTTAACAAATTCATTGACAAATAAATTTGTTAGATGAGTTTAAGGTTATTTTACTAAACGAGGTAAAAGAATGGCAGAATTTATTGACTGACGCTGTGTTAAGAACGTTTCGAGACAAATTGAAAATTCTTTGTAAATATGTCGAAGAAAACTATACATTACTAGCAATGCCTATAAATGAACTAGATGATGTTAGAAGAGTAATTTCGTGCCTTGAAGATGTAGAGAAAAATTTTGTTACTGTTGACCGAGATGTTGCAGAAATTAAAAATGTATTTGAACTATTAAATACATTTAAAGCAACAATATTGCAAGAAGATGAAAAAAGGTTGACTTTACTAACAGAAACATATGAAAAATTGAAAATCAAAGTATATTATATTTCAAATAAATGTTAAAATTAAAAAATAATTCATTTTTATACTTATAAAGACGTGTGAAGTTCCACAAAGACTTGTAAATATTTATGTACCTATGAGAATGGAACTGAAATTGGGTATTAAACGATTAAAATCTGATATTTTTATATATGATACTCAATTTAATGAAAAGGGGCCAATGGTTAGTGGATTAACACCATCAGAAGCCAGTGAAAGGTGCGTATAATTGTTTTTACTTTAGGGAGAGAGTTAAACGACTATTTTTTCGTCAAAATCAATAACTCAATTAAAATACTTTATTAAAGAGGTACAATAAGATAAAATTTTTATTTTTAAAATAGGAACGACGTGCAAAATTGTATTTTTTAAATAAAAATCTACTATCTAATTTTAGCTTTAGTTTCTAAAGAGGTAGACAAGAACTGTTCATCATCTCAGGCATGTGGGTCGATTGTACCGAATTATATTGATTTGGTTTCTTCACCTAAGTGTTTCCACCAAAATATTATTGCCATTATATATCTAACACTATCAAAAGTGATTCACTTATCATGAACCACTTAATTAATCAGAAAATAAAAATAAACATTTTTTATTTGTTTCATTTAGTTCAATGTTTATGTCAATTTTTCAATCATGAATATATTTTTATATTCATTCCATATAACTTATAAGGGTGCCAACTTTAATTTTTCAAATAACAACATATAATTAACTAGCTTATTTAATATAAAACGATCTAATTACTAAAATGACTGGCCAATAACATCTTTTGGACACGTATTTCAGAAGTCATTAACATTTTTATGCCTAAGCGGTCGGAGGAGTGTGACTAAGAAATATTTAGTGATAAAAATAGCAGCACCCAATTGTCACCACTAGTCATTACTTTAAATGTATAATAACTTCTGAAATACTGGTTCAAAAGTTGTTATTAACCATAATTTTCTTGATTAGATCATTATCTAATATATAAGCTAGTTAAATATGTATGTTTCCATTTAAAAAATAAAATTGACACCCCTATATGATAAGGGATGAACATAAAAAATATATAATATATAAATGGTGATTCATATGTAACTAACAATAGCCCAAAAAATTCACAAAAAAATTATTATTTTAAGAGAAATTGAGTGGCTATAGTTAAAAGAATCGCCTTGTATATTAAGGTTTTCAATTTTGACGATTCCTTTGCAAAGAACCGTCAGTTATCGTTCTTACACAGAAATGTTGTTTGTAGGATCCTTGTTTGTCAAAAGATTTTAAGTTAAGATTTTATAATATTTTTAGATTCTGTAATTTAGCATATTTTACAATAGGTTATCTTTTATATGAAAAAAACAATTTTAACAAACCTTTAACTATCGATTTTGACTAAATCTATTGTAAATTAAAATTTTTCTAATAGACTATTTAAAAAAATGTCTTTAATTAGGGTTATTATATTCCAAGATAAATTCGATGAGTTAGTTGTATTAATGGATCGTTATCAAGAAGGAGAACGATTATTTGGAGTAAAAATCACTGAGTATCCTTCTCTAACGGAAAAAAAACGGATATTTAATTTATTACAAAAACTTTATGGTTTATACGTTTTGGTTAATCATTCTATGGATACATGGTTAAATACTACATGGAGTCGATTACGTATTGACGATATAAGTGAAAAACTAGCTGAGTATTCCAATAGATGTCGCAAACTCCCAAAAGGATTAACCGAATGGCCAGCATACTTAGAATTGAAAAAAAAAATAGACAATTGGTCACTGATTATTCCTTTGGTAGAAATGATGATTAAAAACTCTCTTAAAGAAAGACATTGGACAATGATCGAAAAAGTGACAAATACACCTCTTCCAATTGATAATTCAGATTTTATGCTTAAAAATATAATGAATGCGCCATTAATTGTTAATAAAGATGAAATTGAAGACATATGTCAAACTGCCATAAAAGAAATGGATATTGAAGCAAAGTTAAGACAGGTTATATCTGATTGGTCTACTATTAACGTGGAACTAACTACGTTTAAAAGTAGAGGATTCTTATTAGTTAAAGGCCAAGAACTAGCAGAAGTAGTAGCACTTCTAGAAGACAGTCAAATGGTCATGAGTTCACTAGCAACAAATAGGTATTTCTAACGTTTTTTGCTAACTTCACTATTTAATTTTCAATTTATTATTTTCATATAATACTTAAAATTATGATTTGAAATTTAACAAAGATACAACTAATTATCATCAATTGAATTTCATTCAATTTATCAACATAATATTATAAAGCGTATAATAAATCTACTAAAGGAAATTTAATTTCCGTAGAATAAAAAACTTTTATTTTTTATACAGAGTGATTGAAATCTGGTAAGCAATAATTTTCCCAGAAACTATTATGAATTTTTTATTTTAGTAAGGACAAAAAATTTCAGGTTCAAAAAAACTCTTCATATCTAAAAATACTTATTTAAAATTATCTTAAATGGTAACCCCTATTTTTAACATGTAAAAAATTACAAATAATTTTATTTATGTAATCAACTGTTTGCATATTATAGATTATTAAAAGATTTGGATGTCAAATAAAAATGCTAAATCGATTTAGTTTTATAATACCAGTGGAAGTGCAAACAGTATTATTACTGCTTTCATGACGGTTATAATCTATTAATAGCCCATTAATTGTTTATCATATTAATTATAAGGAAAAATTTCACGTTGGTCATCTAAATGAGCAACAACAATAATGTATTATCGCTATTGAAATATATTGTTGTTGTCATTAGTATTATAAAACCAAATCAATGATGAATTTTTACTGGACATTCAAATTTAGAAACATTCTCTAAAACGCAAACGATCACATAAAAAATTATAAGAACAAAATAGTTTGTTATTTTTTTCGTGTTTTTTTTTGAAAAAAGGATTTTTATCTCTGAAGGAACGAAAAAATATGCCTTACCAGATTTCAATCCCCCTGTATGTTATATTAAAATTATTAATTGTTAATTATTTTTTTAAGGACAATAAACTTATAAAAAATTATAATGAAATTTTACAAATTATTTCTACAGTAATGATATATAAAATACATAAAATATGTTTTAAGCTAAATACTTTTTTTAGTTACCTTAATTTTTTTTATATATATAATAGTTTATACAAAAAAATAATATTAACTCTACTACTATAAAATAAATAAATGGAAAAAATTCAAAGGTACAATGTTGCATTCAAAACAGAAATTTCGGATTGGGTGAGAAAATTTGCAATAACAGGTCAAGTATTAGAAAATTGGATAATAGTGCAAAATTTATGGACATATTTGGAAGCAGTTTTCGTTGGAGGTGATATAGCTAAACAACTTCCATTAGAAACAAAACGTTTCAGCGTACGCAAATAAAATTTATTAAATATAATATAAAACAATGAACTATAAATTATTGAAATATTAGAATATAGACAAACTATGGGTACAAATTATGACAAGAGCAAAGTTCACTGAGAATGTTATTGAAATTTGTACAGGTGACGATTCGATGGAAATTTTATTGCCTTATTTAAAGGAACAGTTGGAACTATGTCAAAAATCTTTGGCGGGGTATTATACTAGATTATTTCCAGATTAAAATAATTAATTTTTTTTGGGGGGGGGGGTTTAAATAGTATTAATTTATAGATATTTTAATTGTTATGATCCTCTTTTGGTTTATCCCTTATAAGGGTACTAACTTAATTTATTTTTAATGGAAACATACATATTTAACTAATTTGTATAATAAAAATTGACTAATCGTTAACAACTTTTCAGAAATTATAAATATTTTTGATAGTTTTTAGTAATTTTTAAATAATTGATAAATGAATTCTAATTAACAAAATAAAAAAAAATTTCAACATAATTATTTTAGAACAAATTAAGTGGTCAACGATAAATAAATCAGTCCCTCAAACAGATTTCTCTTTTATAGATATTTGGATCAGAAGAGAAATATTTTTCCAAGATTTTATTTTGTTTCTGATCCTGTGCTATTGGAAATTCTTGGTCAAGCTTCAAACTCTCATGCCATAGAACCTCATTTATTAAGTCTATTTGATAATATTGCAAAACTGACATTTAATCCACTAGAATATGATAAGGCCCTAGAAATGATTTCTAAAGAAGGGGAAGGCATTCCTTTTGAACATCCTGTTATGTGTATAGGAGGTGTAGAAAATTGGCTAAACACGTTACTTATTGAGTCAAAAAATACAGTCAATCAAGTAATGTCAAATGTGGCAGCATATATGACAAATCCAGATTTTTCACTATTAACCATGGTTAATACGTTCCCATCTCAAGTATTGTTAATTTTTTATATTCCATTTTTAAATACTTATATATGACTGGTTTTTTAGATGGGTCTAGTTGGTATACAAATGTTGTGGACTTATTATACTGAAAATGCTATCAGCAATGCTTTACTTAAAAAAACTATAATGAAACAAACAAATGATTACTTTATCGTGTTATTAAACACACTAATTGATTGCACAACATTAAATTTAACAAAAATGGAACGAGTTAAATACGAAACATTAATAACAATTCATGTCCACCAAAGGTTTTTATTTATCATTTTTGTAATCGAAATTTGTATTGTGTATTTATATTAATATTGTGAGTATCATTTTAGAGATATTTTTGAAACATTGTATCGTATGAAAGTTTCAAGTTTAACTGATTTTGAGTGGTTAAAGCAAGAACGTTTTTATTTTAATTTAGAAGTCGATCAGTGTGAAGTTCGAATAACTGATGTAACATTTATTTACCAAAATGAATTTTTAGGATGCTCAGATAGACTTGTAATTACACCCCTTACTGATCGTTGTTACATAACATTGGCTCAAGGAATAGGTTCATTTTACTGCTAAAAAATTAGATTATAGTAATATTTTTATATCAAAAAATTATATTAGGAATGAATATGGGAGGAGCGCCTGCTGGACCAGCTGGGACAGGAAAAACAGAAACTACTAAAGATATGGGTAAATCACTTGGTAAATATGTAGTGGTATTCAATTGTTCAGATCAAATGGATTTTCGAGGACTTGGTCGTATATTCAAAGGCCTAGTACAATCAGGAACGTGGGGATGTTTCGATGAATTTAATCGTATAGAATTGCCAGTATTATCAGTAGCTGCTCAACAAATATATCTAGTATTTTCTGCACGAAGAGATAAAAAATCAACATTTTTATTCAGGTTAATAAATTGATTACTACCAAAATATTACACAAAATATAAGATGTTAACTTAATTAAAATTAAATTAAAAAAAAATAGCGATGGTGACATTATTCCAATGAATCCAGAATTTGCTATATTTCTTACTATGAACCCTGGTTATGCTGGAAGACAAGAATTACCGGAAAATTTAAAAGTTCTCTTCAGAAGTGTTGCAATGATGGTTCCAGATCGCTTAGTAAATACTCTAATATCAATTTAATTAAAACCTTAAGTATGCAATATAATTTAATAATGATTTATAATATTTATTACAGATCATTATACGTGTAAAAATGGCAGCGGCTGGTTTTAAAAACAATATAGTTTTATCGAAAAAATTTTTCATTTTATATCAACTTTGCGAAGAACAATTAAGTAAACAAGTACATTACGATTTTGGTTTAAGAAATATATTAGCAGTTTTACGTACTCTTGGTACTCAGCGAAGAGGCAATCTAAATGACTCTGAAGAAACAATATTGATGAGAGTTTTAAGAGATATGAATGTTTCTAAATTAGTTGATCAAGATGCTGCAATTTTTATGTCACTTATTGAAGACCTGTTTGTTGGACTAAAATTAACAACATCAACTTATAAAGACTTGCAAGCTAGTATAAATAAATCATGTAATGAGTTTTTATTTGTCAATGATTCTACGTGGAACCTTAAAATAATACAAGTAATAATATAAGTACTAAAAAATATAGACAAATAATAATATTTAAATAATATTAATAAACTAAGGTTTACGAAACATCCTTGGTGCGACATGGATTAATGATACTAGGACCAACTGGAGCGGGAAAAACTGCTGCTATTCATACACTATTAGCCGCATTAACGAAAAATGGTTTACCTCATTTTGAATATCGTATGAATCCTAAAGCTATTACTGCACCTCAAATGTTTGGAAGATTAGATGTAGCTACAAATGATTGGACAGATGGAATATTTTCTACACTTTGGAGAAAAACTTTAAAAGTATTATTTATTTATTTAAAAAAATAAAACTAGAAAAAAAATGGTTTCAAATTTTTTAGTTAGAACCTGGTGAATTTTGTTGGATTGTTTTGGATGGACCAGTAGATGCAGTTTGGATTGAAAATTTAAACTCTGTCTTAGATGATAACAAGACTTTAACGCTAGCAAATGGTGACAGAATTGTAATGGCATCAAATGCAAAACTTGCTTTTGAACCAGATAATGTAGATAATGCATCACCAGCAACAATATCTAGAATGGGAATGACTTATTTTTCATCAACTGTTTTATCATGGAAAATTATTTTTCAAGTTGGTATCAATTTAACTTGAATACATTTTTTTTTTAATATTGATTAAAAATATTAATTTCCAATCGAAAACTAATCAATGATTAGGGTTGGGGTAAAAAAAGATCTAAACATGAATTCGATTGTCTTCAACATCTTTTTGATAATTCTTACGATGGTTTATTAAAAGTACTTAATTCGAAACTTACTGCTAAAATGACATTGTTAGAAGCACATTACATACATCAAACTTGCGATTTACTTGATGGTTTATTGAGCATGTTCAACATAACAACTGGTAATACAAAAAAAAAGGTTTAAATAATTTTTTTAATTTTGTTTATTTGATAGATTTATCAGAAAATACCATTTCACGATTGTATACTTTTTCAATTATGTGGAGTTTAGCAGCAGTATTAGAATCATTAAATCGTCAATTATTAGAAGATTATATTTTAAAAGATATGAAAGGAATAATGAGCGTGCCAAAACTTAAGGTAAATAAAAAATTATCGTTAAAACATAACAGTGAAAAATGTCCAGAAAAATCCGAAAATTGCAATTGTTTTAAATAAAATTGCGCTTTAGAGCTTATTAATCCAACCAAACCCAACGTTCATTCAATTTAAAATTTTAATTCTGAAATTACATTTTATTTATAATATGTAATACATTAATATTCCATATGGATAAGGGATAAGAATACTTTGACGGCCCCTCTACCAGTTGTAAGAGACTACTAATGTGATTACGTCAGGTAGACAGCCGGTGTAAAATTTTTTCAAAAATATAGAGTTCTGAACAAATCTTAGGTGAAATGATGTGCGTGTGGTCAACAGGTTATAGGAAATAAAGTTGTTAAAAACGAAGAAGGTCTAAAGAATAACGTATTTGATACCAGCCGAACAACTTATGCAATAGCTGTTTCACCGATCATGTGTACAGGTCTGCGCACCGTTTGTAGTATAAACGGTGTAGGGACATTTTCACTTAACTCTAAGCTGAACTCTTGTATAAGGGAGAAAGATAGATACAAAGTATGAAAAGGTAAGTGGAATATTGAAACATTAACTGGTAGAAGTAGAGTATTAAAGAGGAGAAAAGTTAACATTTGTTGTGTGCAGGAAACTAAGATGAAAGGAGGGTAGCAAGATAATAAGAGGGTTATAAAATAATATACTCAGACAAGTCTAGTACAAATAATGGTGTAAGGATAATAATGAATGAGAAGATTAAAAGTTAAGTAGTAGAGGTAGCTAAGAAAAGTGATAAAATTATAGTCATAAAATTAATTTTCGAAGAAAAAGTGATAATGTAATAAGTGCCTATACACCACAAGTAGGATGAAAGAAACAAAAAATGTTTTGGAGAGAGATGGATGAGTAATACAAGAAATACCTGGTAATGAGTGTGTGATGATAGGTAGACATATGAATAGACATTTTGGTAATGAGAGGGGAGAATATGAAAGAGTACATAGAGGGTATGGTTGTAGTGGGAAGAATGAGGCTGGAGAAGTAATTCTGGATTTCGCAGTATTGTATAATCTTGCTGTGGTTAATACTTATTTAGAAAGAGGGAAGGACATTATATAACTTTTTAGAGTGGGAGTAATAGATCACATATTGATTATAACATAATTTCAGAATTAAAATTTTAAATTGAATGAACCTTGAGTTTGAATAGTTTTATTAGAGTTTCAACTCTAAAGTAGCATTTTAATTAAAACTATTTTATAGCTATTTTTCGATTTTTCTTTGACCTACACTGTAAGTGTTATAGTTTTACCTATATGGTAAGTTTTTTTTATAATTTTAAAGATGTGTTAGTAAACGAGTAAAAAGAGTGGAAATTTCTAAAGGTTTTAAAAAAACTTAACATTCTTTTGCAACATTTTAAGCTGTTCGAGTTTAATCTGTATTTTAAATTTGAAGAGCTTATTTTAAGTATAAACCTAAATATATGGGTTCGAGAAACCAGATAAATTGTTTAGTTTAAAGATACACTTCGATTGCTAAAATTTAGCACAGTGCACTGCCTTGCTCTCAGATAGAAAAATATATTTTTAAAAATATACACATTAAATAGTCTTAATTGTAGGAAGGTGAAACAATTTATGAGTATACAGTGTCCAAAAATGGTGAATGGATGCATTGGAGTTCATTAGTTGATGAATATATGTATCCTCGTGACTATACACCTTCTTATGGAGACATTTTGGTTCCGAATTTGGATAATGTTCGAGCAATGTTTTTAATTTCATTAATTGCAAACCAAGAAAAAAATGTTTTACTTATTGGTGAACAGGGAACAGCCAAAACAGTAATGATCAAAAGTTTTATGCAAGAATTTGATCAAGAAAAAAGACTGAGCAAAATGCTTAATTTCTCCTCCGCTACTACACCGAATATGTTCCAGGTAAAAAGGGATAGTTAGTTTTTAAATAATCGTATACTATAATTTATATTATTTAGTATTTTATCAAGTAACAATTATAAAATTTTAGTGTTATGATTGTTTTGAGGGATTCTATATTATCTTATCTAAAAACTAACTTTCTACAAACTTTACCTGAACTAGGTTGACCATTTAATTCCATTACAGTTTTAATATAATAATTACGAGAATTATTCAAATTTTAACCTCACAATGACGTATTATCAAGTTAAAAAACACGATGAAACATGGTAACACAATGGGGTCACAGCACAGTGTGAACGTGGCATAGTTGGGACTAGTATAAATGATATCTGACAGTGATTTAAATCACTATCATATAAAACACTTCGATGCAAATCTGTAGATGGTGTTTAATTTTAAGAAATTGGTGGATTATTGAAAAACAAAATTCTAACTCAAAAAGAAAAATTGCAAAAAAAATTATTGCCACGGGCAATGATTTTTACTGAATCGGCAAACGTTCATCGTATCGTCTTTTTATCAAATAGGTAATTTAAGCTGATTGAAAAGCTCGGAGTATTTCCGAAACATTTTCAAAACTTAAGTTGAAAAAGTTAAATTTTTGTGCAGAAGTTGCTATTTTGAATCCCCCTGTGGGTAGGTAAAGGGTCAGATTTTCAAAAAGTTTGTATCAAATGAAAGAGAAATATCTAAAGGTTTCAATATAAAAAAGAATTATTTTGATTTGTTCATTTTTCAATAAGTTATGGCAATTTTTAGAAGAAAAAAAATGTCGACATTTACCGATTTTAAAAATCGTAATTTTTTATAAGTTAGTTAATTATGTATATTGCCCTTAAAAATTATTAACGTTAACGCTCTTAGTGGATAAATTGTATAAATTCTTAATAATTAATAAATCAAGAAATATATGAAAATAAAAAATATCAAAAATAATTTCCTTGACGTAATTATTATTTTAAGAGAAATGGAGTTGAAATTTTTAAATAATTACCTAATAGAAAAATTTATATTTCCATAAAAACAGCACGCGTCTAGCGAGATATTTATTAAAAAATAGTTTGTGTTTCATTTTTTTATATAATAATTAAACACCTCAAATATAAATGGTTTTAGAACACAATTGAAGGCTATATGGAAAAAAGGTTTGGTACAACATATGGTCCTCCGGGTAATCGAAAAATGTCTGTATTTATTGATGATATAAATATGCCAATTATAAACGATTGGGGAGATCAAGTAAATATTTTTATTTGTTTAAAAATTTTAATGTATGTAATTGATTTATATCACATTCTACAACTAGGTTACAAATGAAATTACTCGACAATTATTGGAAGGTGGAGGATTTTATTCATTGGTTAAACCAGGAGAATTTATAAATATAGTTGGAGTAAATATGTTAGCAGCTATGATTCATCCAGGTGGTGGTCGAAATGATATCCCACCTAGATTAAAGAGACAGTTTTGTATATTTAATTGTACCTTACCATCAGACACGTCAATGGATAAAATATTTGGAACGTTGGGAAGTGGCTATTTTTGTAAAGAACGTTTTGAAGAGCAAATTGTACAATTTGTTCCAAAGCTTGTACCTCTAACACGATTAGTATGGCAAAAAACTAAAATAAAATTACTACCAACCCCAGCCAATTTTCATTATGTGTTTAATTTACGTGACTTATCACGTATATGGGAAGGCATGTTACAAATTGGTATTTCCGAATGTCCTAATGTTCAAGTATTATTGAAATTATGGTGCCACGAACTTTTGCGAGTAGTATATGACAAGCTCACAAACGCAGCAGATAAAGAATGGTTTTTTAGTAATTTGTTAACTACCACGCGAGATTATTTAAATAATGAAGACTTTAAATTGTTTCCATCAGACATTAACAAAACAGTTTTTGTTGACTTTTTACGTGATATGCCTGAACCTACAGGTGATGAACCTGATGATTTTGTTTTCGAAGATCCAAAAGTTTATGAAGAAATAGAAGAGTAATTTTGATTTTTTTAGGAATAATTCATCATTTTTTTTTACTATGAACGTTAAAAATTATATAAGAAAAGAAAAATAAAATTTTACATTTTTTAAATGTATAAATATTAAAAAATTTACTTTTCTAGCTTTGTTACTCTTGAGGCTAGAGTGCTTATGTACATGACACAAATGAATGAAGTAATACGAGGATCTAATATGGACTTAGTATTTTTCCGCGATTGCATGGTGCATCTAGTTATCATATCACGAATTTTAAGAATACCACGTGGAAATGCCTTACTTGTAGGCGTTGGAGGTTCAGGGAGAAGATCAGTCACATCTTTAGCTTCATTTATTGCTGGATATTTCCAGCATAAAATATTCATGACTAGGTTATTCATTAATTAATTTTTCATACATACACAATTTATTTTTTCAATTAATTATAATTTCTGTTATTAATTCAATAATTTGTTTATTAATATATAATAACGTATTATAAAATTTTCTATAGAACATATAACGTGAACAACTTTTTGGATGATATAAGATTACTTTATAGAAAAGCAGGGTTTGAAGATAAAAAGACCACTTTTGTGTTTACTGATAACGACATAAAAGAAGAAGCTTTCTTAGAATACCTAAATAATATTTTAAGTTCTGGAGAAGTAGCTAATTTATTTGCAAAAGATGAACTTGAAGAAATGCTAAGTACACTGACTCCAACATTTAGAAAAAAAAATCCAAAAGGCATTCCAACTTTGGACAATTTGTATGAATTTTTCATTAAACAAGCAACACAAAATTTGCATGTTGTGCTTTGTTTTTCACCGGTTTGGCTAGATCAAAAATTGTTCCCGGTTAATTTAAGTTTTTTTTTAATTTTTTACATATTTTTATTTAGATAGGTGAAAGTTTTCGATTACGTGCATTGAAATTTCCTGGTATTATATCTGGTTGTATCATTGATTGGTATACATCTTGGCCGTTAGAAGCTTTACACGCAGTATCTCATCACTTTTTAAAGGACTTCAACATTGTTGGTACAAACATGGAAAAAAATTCTTTAATACAAATGTTAGGTGAAATACATAATAATGTTACTAAAGATTGCATTAATTATCAGCAAAGGTAAATTAAAATTTGTATATTTTATAATTCAATAAAAAAAATACTTGATGCGTATTTGACAAGAACATAATAGGATTTCTCTTATGTTATTAGCAATATTACTGGAGTCTCATTTATTCATTTAGCTTTATAAATATTAAACATAATCGTTATACTTTTATATTAATTTATACTGTTTTTTCATCTTTCTTATACCAAGCAGTATTAGTTTTAATTTTTATTATATAATAAAAATTGGATTCTGAATCATTTCTCGATACATTTTTTGTAGAGATAGTGACTTTATAAGATAGAGCATAAAGACCGCTCTTCGCCATTTCTGAGACTTCAAATATTAATATATACGAAAGTTATAATAAAAAACTGGTTATTAACCAGTTAGAATTTTCTTTATACCACTCTCCATTTAAGAGTAAAATAATAATAGGTTCCCATTTAACTTTCAAAAGTTATCCTTAAAATCTACCCTCATGAGTAATTTTTTTCTTTCTATACATTTTTATGAAAAAAATGAGAATGGTACCCATAATAAATCTTATTGTATTTAAATATTTTTTACATTTGATATAAACCGGTCTTTTTTTAAATTAGTAATTTTTATTGCAGGTTTCGGCGACAAATTTATGTCACTCCCAAGTCATTTCTATCATTTATTGATGGTTATAAAAATTTATATAAAGAAAACGTTGAACAAATTGAAAATATGAAAGTACAAAGAGTACTGGGGTTAGAAAAACTTGCTGACGCCTCACTACAAGTTGAAGTATTAAAACTAGAATTGGTCGAAAAAGAAAAAGAAATAGCAGTTGCGAATGCTGCTTGTAACGAAGTAATTAAAATTTACAAAAAACATTCTTATTAAAATATGGTAATGTTTTTTTCTAACGTAGGTTACAACTAAAGTCAATAAAGTAGTAGAAATAGCAGAAAAAAGTAAAGCTGAAGTAGTAATTGTCAAGGATAAGGCTGAGCAATTACTAAAAGTTATATCTAAAGAAAAAAAAATTGCTGAAGGAAAACTTGCCAAAGCTAAACCAGCTTTAGACGCAGCTGAAGCAGCTTTAAACGTATGCAATTAACTTTTTTTTCACAGTAAACCTTGAATTAATTGAACTAAAAATTAACTTACTTACAACTAATTGCAAATTTTATCTGCTTTTTTTTTTTTCTTCTGAAATCGAAGACTGGGGAGGAACTGCCGTTAAGCATTGCCTCTCCCCGGCCTCCATCGTTTATTGAAACAAACAAAATACATCGAATTGAACATAGGTAGTCTTATATACTAACAGTTAGTTAGCTCTACCTCCCCAATTTTAGCCATTCGGCCTACAATAAAACCTTAGGCTAAAATAAAAGAAACAAACAGTTTTTCATTTCTTCACCCGGCAGTCACGGGCAATGTGCCCTTCCTCATGGCAGGTGAAGCACTGAGCTGTCCTGTTGGGTCCTTCGCAGTCTTTTGCCATGTGCCCCATCTCTTGGCATCTGTAACACCTGGGTACAACTCCATTGGCGTCCATCACCTTGATCCGACATGTACCCCAGCCCACCCTGACCTTTTTGAGTTTGGCCAGTTTGTAGGCCGCGTTGGTCGGAACTCTCAGGCGCACGGATCTTCCTCTTCACTGCTCGCCGCTTATTTCCGGCACTCTCACTTCAGAGAGATCCGGGTGTAGGAGTTTCAGAACCCCTTCCAGATCGGCGGCGTCAACGGATTCTTCTAATGCCACCAGTATGATCGAAGTCATGGCTACTGGGCGACGCACCTTGGCTCTGTCGCAGAGTCTCTCTTTCAGGATCCCTGCAAGAAGATCGGCTTTCTCACGATTGCCGATCTCTAGCAGGATCTCTCTGGCCTTGGTCCTTCGGGAGCCAGTGACTTCCAAACCTATCTCCTGCAGGTTTACCACCTCCTTGGCACTCTTGAGGAGGTCGACCATCGACGCCCTTTCCTTCTGACCACAGCCGCCCAGGTGTTTTCTTTGCCCGGTGCCTGCGCTTGAGGAGCCACCTCCAGCGGAGCAGCCGACTGAGAAACTACGGCTTGTGGAATAGCGTTCAAAGAAGATACCTGACCTTCCGCTATCTCCTTCTTCCTCTTCTTTTTCTTCTTCTTCGACTTCTCCGCCACCGTGGGTTCAATCACCGAAGGGTCCTCCACAGTTTGCGTGCCTGCCTCTTTGGTCGATCTCTTAGTTGGAGCCGCGACATTAGGAGCTCGTGGCCCGACTCTTCCATCGGGTGGGGGCTGGTGGTCCCCAACACCCGACGCCGACGGCCCTCCTCTTTTTCCTTCTCCAATATCACTTCAAGTTTCCTCGTCGCTTACTGGACCTTTCTGTGGACACCCATGCCCCTCCGTTTGTCCATGATACAACGGAGTACTTTGACCTGGTCGGCGACTTCATTGACCATGGTCGCATTCGCAGTCATTTCCTCCGCTGTGTCATTCCTTCGTTTCCTGCGGGGCTCGGCTGAGCTCCTTAACTCAGTCAGAGCCTGGCATGACAGAGATATTTGCTTCAAGAGGAATGCCAGATGCGTGTCTGGCACCTCTTTCATGAGGCTCCCCTCGACCTCCGCGGTTCTAGCAAGAGCAACGACGTGGTTGAGGCTGACGTCGAACGTGGCCTCGTCGTCACTCTTGTCATCCCGCAACGACGCCCTCCTCTTCACCGGATGGCGCTTTGGAGGCGTCTCTTCCCTGAGAGGGCTGAGTGCCGGAGACTCTTCACGGCGTAGAGCAGACGTGCCTTCTTCTCCTAAAGATGGCTCCGCCTCCTTCCCGCCTGGTCCGTCTCCGATCCGTATAGCTTCATCTTCCTCGTCTTGAGCAGCGACAAAGGAAGACGAAGAAGAGCCTTTTCTTTAGCACACCACGCAGTCTCCTTCTGCTTGGTGGCGCTTATATTCATACAACTCGGTTGCTTGTCGCAGACCGTGTCCCATTAACTCCATCATCTTATTGCCTTTGTAGCGGGAGAGCAATTCGGCGGCGACCAGTCAGGCCACGTTATTGACCCGATCCGCCGCACCCTCCCCTCGATGACTGGAGATACAGCTATCCATTACGGCAGCTCTTTCCTCGTCATCCTCTATGTCTTCCAGAGGATTATACTCCACTTCCTTCTCCGGTGCAAATACTCCGCCATTAGCAAGTTCCTTCTCCATCATTCCCAACACCATCGACACAGAACTTCGGAAGCCTTCCAAGCTTCTTAGTCTCCTGAGTGGGAAACAATGCTCCGTGACTTTTTCGGAGATCCTGCGCTGGCGCAAGTGCATCCAGCGGTTGTATTCTGACTGCGTCAGCGGTATTCCATCGCAAAAACGATCTCGAATATCCGTCCAGTACTCAATCATCTCCGCAGAGATCATCAACCCTCCAGCAGTAGCCTCAGTGACCCGAAGGTCACTGGAGGATGCCTGCTTGGCACATCCTCCGACGCTTGGGCGCGAATGCCCCCTGGACCCTACCTCACCAGTCCAACAGTTTTTGTACAGTCGCTAGATGACGACCGGTTTGGGCCTGTAGAGACCCCTCCCCAGCCGGTACTGGAGTCTCCGACCCTCCTGGAACCGCAACTTCTGTATCTTCTGTCTTCCTGGTTGATTTTTTGGGGTAAATTCTAACCCTTGCGACTTACGTGTCGCCACGGGATTTGATTTTGGTGTTACCTTCACCTGGTGGTCGCTTTACCAGGCTATCGGGTCCACCTGCCCGTTTTCCTCAAACGCTTCCGCTTATTCGTCCACTCTGAGGAGTGACTTATATCACGGCTACCCTGCATATCTGCAGGGTTAACGAGCGATCAAGGGGCTCATTGTCCGCGACCGCTTATTCGTCAGCCCAAGTGAATGGACTGCTTATTTCGCGGCTAACCTGCATATCTGCAGGCCGTTCCTCTATCCGCAACCTGAGGACGTGCCCGATTCCCCGAGCTAGGAAAACTGCGCCCGTGCCGACGTTTCGTAGCCCAGTAGAGTCCGATCATACCGACACTGTAACGCAAGCAAACGGGAATGTTATCTGATGCGAATATTATAATATCTTTATTAATATTTTTTTTTAGAAATTTTATTTTTAAATTTAAAAATATAAAATCATTTTTTACCTTAATTTTTTTCGGCTTTGATAAAATATATATTTATGCAGTTTTCCAGGAATTTTTTTAGGGGTGGGAGGAAATAAATGTGTACCATTTCCATGAGTGGCAATTTTTTTGGAATTAAGTGATGACAGAATTTTTTGTAAACATAATATATAAAATAAGGATTATGTTGGACTTCAATACTAAATATGTCTCTGCGCTTGTCACATATTGAGTAGGAAAGGAAGGTAGAATTTAAAATTAAAATAAACATTTCATGATTTCCAGATGCTTTGTCTTTTAATAAATTCTAACTATATCACTATTTACTCAGATTTAAATATTATAATGTTTTATAAAATAAATGCTTAGATATGCAGATGGTCGGTCTGATTAATGCTCAAATAAAAATAGACTGACTTTTAATAGACAGGCAAATAGGGTCGAGCTAGCTGGCTTAAGCCAAAATATCAAATAAGCATATTCAGTTAAACTTAGCCAAGGTCATCACCGATTTATGTATACTTTTAAAACTTACGAAATGATAAACAATAAATATATAAAATAAACCAGTTGTTCTAACATAGTAATAATTTGTTCGAGTGACATTTTATTTTTTCAGACTATAGAGCAAAAAGATATAGCTACAGTCAGATCATTAAAAAAGCCTCCAATTTTAATTACATTAATTATGGACTGTGTACTTATATTATTTAAACGCCCGCTTGTACCAGTAACAATAGATCGATCGATAAATTTTTTGTCAAATTCTTATGAATACGAGTCTAAAAAAGTAAAAACAAATTTCTATTTTTATTTATTCATGTTTATTTAATTATTTGTCATTTAAAAATAGTTTATGGGTGAAGGACGATTTTTAGAAAAATTGAAAAATTTTCCCAAAGATCAAATAAATGGAGAATTAATTGACTTAATGCAAACTTATTTTAAATACCCCGATTATACATTAGAAAATGCAAATAAAGCATGTGGAGATGTTGCTGGATTAATTAGCTGGACGAAGGCAATGGCTGAATTTTATAAAGTTAATACAGAAGTTTTACCTTTGAAGATGAATCTTGCAAAGCAAGAAGCTAAACACAATAAAGCTAAAGAAGAGCTACGGGAAGCTGAGGCTATTGCTGCAGAGAAAAACAGAGAATTAATGGAAGCAAAAAGAAAACTTAAGATTGCTTTAGACTCACAAGGAGAAGTTCAAGCAGAAGCTGATAAATGTAAAAACAAAATGATGTCAGCAACTGCTTTAATTGATGGACTAGTAGGCGAAAGAAAAAGATGGACTCAACAATTAGCTGGTTTCAATGTAGAAATTAAAAAACTATTGGGTGATATTGTAATATTAACTGGATTTCTATCCTATTCGGGTCCATTTAATCAAGAATATCGGACACATATTATACAATCGTGGTACAATCAACTACATGAAAAAAATATCCCAAATACAGTTGATTTAAGCATAATTGACAAATTAGTAGATCCTCCTACAATAAGTGAATGGAATCTTCAAGGCTTGCCTAATGATGAATTATCTACTCAAAATGGTATAATTGTAACACAATCACCAAAATATCCTGTATTAATTGATCCACAAAGTCAAGGATTAGCATGGATAAAAAATAAGGAATTAGTTAATCAAATGAAAGTTACTTCATTCGATAATAAGTATTTTAGAAACCATTTAGAGGATTGTGTATCCTTAGGGAAACCTTTACTAATACAGGACATTTTACAAGACGTAGATCCAGTGCTAGAAAATGTTTTAGAAAAAAACTATTTTAAAGTAGGTAGAAACTTAAAAGTATCACTTGGAGATAAAGAAGTTGATATACATGAAAGTTTTCGTATGTACATAACAACAAAGCTTAGTAATCCATCTTACTCGCCAGAACTTTATGCTCGATGCTCTATAATTGATTTCACTGTAACACTTAGAGGATTGGAAGATCAATTGTTAAGCAGAGTCATTGAAACCGAAAAAAGAGAGTTGGAATTGGAACGAGTTGAACTTATTGCTGAAGTGACTTCACAAAAACGTAAAATGCAAAAACTTGAATATGATTTGCTTGTCAAATTAACCACAGTAAAGGGATCTCTAGTAGACGATGAATCTGTTTTATATACACTTAACAAGACTAAAGATACTGCTGCAGATGTCAACGAAAAAATTAAAATTGCTACACAAACACAAGCTTCAATTAATTTAGTACGTGAAGAATACCGACCAATTGCTACTAGAGGATCAGTTCTATATTTTTTAATTGTTGAAATGGGAATGATAAATTCCATGTATCAAAATTCTTTGCAACAATTTATTGAACGTTTTGATTTATCTCTTATGAAGTCAGAAGCTTCACTTATATTAAGTAGACGAATATCTAATATAATAAAAACAATGACATATGATATATTTAAATACAAGTGTCGAGGTTTATATGAAAAAGATAAAACGTTGTTCACAGTCATCATGACACTTAAAATTGATATGGAACAACAAAATATAACAAAAGATCAGTTTGAATATTTTATCAAAGGAGGTGCTTCAATTGATTTGAATTCTATAAAACCAAAACCTTTTGCCTGGATTACTGATATATGTTGGATGAACTTAGGGTTATTACAAACTATATCTCCATTTCAAGAAATATTGAATATTGTCTCACAAAATGAAAAACAATGGAAAACTTGGTACGAAAAAAGTACACCCGAAAAAGAAGTTATCCCCAATGGTTTGGATAAACTTAGTCAATTCGAAAGATTATTGATTGTAAGAGCTTGGTGTCCAGATAGAACATTGAATCAGGCTTTTGCTTATATTGAAGAATCTCTTGGTCCTAAGTTTGTCGAATCAATAATGTTTGATATTGAAGAAATGTACCTCGAGTCAAGAAACACAACACCACTCATTTGTTTCTTAAGTATGGGTTCAGACCCTAGTAATTTAATTGAAAATACTGCTAAAAAGTTAGAAATTCCATTCCGATCTATATCAATGGGACAAGGGCAAGAAATACATGCTAGAGTATTAATGGAAAATTGTAACATTAACGTAAATAACTTTTTTAATAATATTTTATAATTTTAAGAAATGATTATATCGATAAGATAAATGTTTCCTTTACAAACAATTATTCCATAAAAATATATATCTGCCTCATTTGTCTAATTATAATTTATCCTAAAAAATACATTTTTAAAAAGTTATGATATTTATTTGGTAAAGGTTAACTAATTTAAATAACCATAGAAGCTGAAAATCGGGTATAATGTTTTACAATTATTACTAATTGCAACTGACTAAGTATATAGGTTGATTCTTTTAACACTAGCCACTTGATTTCTTTTAAAATCCAGAGAAAAATTTTTTAATGTTTTTATAAAATTATTTTTAAATTACTGTCTTTGAATTTACATATGTATATAGTTACATATTATACCTTTATTTGTTATAAAGTATTTTTCATATTATACTTTACAAGGGTGCAGATTTATTTTTCAAATAATAACATAATTAATTAGCTTAAACAATATCTAATAATGTAATTAAAACAATTTCTGATCGATGACAACATTTACACATTGGTATTTAAGAAATTATTACCAATTTTTACTTATACAAGAACAGGAGTAAGTACGAGAAATATCTAATGATAATAATAGCACCACACCTAACTTCTAGTTTTTACTCTAAATTGTAAACAATTTCTGAAATACTGGTCCAAAAGTTATCGTAAAGTTACTATTTGAAAATATAAACATCCCTGAAAGATATGTTATATAATTAGGTAAAAAAAAAAAATTTTTATTATCATTATTACCAGTATTTAAAGAAAAATTCTTATCTTGCCTATCATAAATAGGTAATAATTACTTTTATACAACTTATGTACGTCACAATACCTGAATCCAAAGGTATGTGTACTTAATGTTCTCCCTTAAATATGTTTCCATATTGTTATTTAAATATTATTTTCTAATATTCAAACAAATATTTAATTATTATAAAAACATTTATTTTTAATTTTATGGTGAAATCGTGGTTTAATACTTATATAATTTCAATTTTGTATGTATTAGGGAGGATGGGTTTTGCTACAAAATTGTCATCTTTGTTTAGACTATATGCAAGAAACATATGTATACTTAATAACAAGAGCTGCAACAACACAACATGAAAATTTTAGAGTTTGGATTACAACAGAACCGCATCCTAAATTCCCAATCTCATTACTACAAATAGCAGTTCATTATACATATGAGCCCCCTGAAGGTAATTCGTATAAGATTATTGTGTATTTTCTATTTATTCAAAATATGTTTATAAATTATTCTAAAAACGTATTTATTGATTTATTAAGTTAACAAAAAATCAAATAATTATAATTCGATCGTCAAATAGATCTTTGTCACACTTTATATGTATTAAATATTTTGATTGGATATTTTTTATAACTATTTTACAAATACTAATGAGTCAATTGAAGCAACTTTTCAACATTGTATAAATATTGTGAATATTATAATATTTAAAGGTTATTGAGTATTTTTTTTTAGTAAGTTACTGCAAACAAATTTTAGTTTAAAAGGATAATGGTATTTTTTGATTACGGTTTATATTTTTATAACATAAATGCATAATTTTAAAGGATTACGAGCTGGTCTAAAAAGAACATATAATAATATGGGACAAGATATATTTGATTATTCAAGTGTACCTCAATACAGATCAATCCTATACGCCATATCTTTTCTACATTCTGTTGTTCAAGAACGTAGGAAGTTCGGACCTATTGGCTGGAATATCCCATATGAATTCAATACTTCAGATTGGTATTCTTCAACGTTATACTTACAAAAAATGGTTGATGAAATGACTATTAACTCTCCAGTAAATTGGGTATCTTTAAGGTAAAGTTATTTTTTTCTGAACTAAAAATCCATCCTAATACTCAAAAAAAATTTCAAATAAGATATATGTTGGCTGAAGTTCATTATGGTGGAAGGGTAACTGATGACTATGATCGAAGGCTACTTAATAATTTCACAGTCATGTGGTTTGTAGATAAAATATTTGACGACCAGTTTAATTTCTATAAAAATTATAACATTTTACATTTCAAAAAATTATCACATTACTTAACAGCGATTGAAAATATGTCATTGAAAGATCCGCCACAAGCTTGTGGTCTCCATCCCAATGCAGATATCACGTAATAATTTAATACTTAATCTTAAATTTACGAATATTTTTGTGTAAAAATGCTTAAAACTTTCAGATATCAAACAAATATAATACAAAACATGTTTGATAAGATAACATTTATCCAACCAAAAGGTTCTGGTGGAGATGGAGAATTTACAAGAGAAGATAAAGTACTATCAATGACAAATGATATATTAAAGAAATTACCAGCTACTTTTAACATGTTTAAAGTAAAAGAAAGGTAATCACAGTACAATTACATTAAAAAAAAATATATATATATATATATATGAACATAAAATAAATTTAGATTATCAATCATGGGAGCGACACAACCTATGAATATTTTCTTAGGTCAAGAAATTGATCGAATTCAGGTTGTTATTGATTTAGTTAGGAATACATTGGAGGATCTGTTATTAGCAATTGAAGGGATCATCATAATGAACGAGGTTATTATCTTCAATAATAGATATTATAATAAGTGATGAACTAAATAATTCGAAAATTAATTTAAAAAAAATATAATTATAGGTCTTGTCTACCACTTTAGATTTCCTTTATGATGGTCGTATACCTACTCATTGGATAAGACCTTCTTGGACGTCATCATCTATAAGTTTTTGGTTCAACGAATTGCTTGAACGACAACTCCAAATATCTACATGGATTTTCAAAGAAAAACCATCCAAATTCTGGTTGACTGGTTTTTTTAATCCACAAGGATTTTTAACCGCTATGAAGCAAGAAATATCAAGGGCTCACACCGGGTGGACTCTAGATAATATGGTTCTTGATAATAGAGTCACAATTTATTCTAAATACGAAATTGGTAAACAACCAACTGTAAGTTAAAAAACTAGTTGTATTTTTTACATTCAGAGTGATCCACAACGTTTCGACAAATATAATAACTTTTGATCTACTCTAAATAATATGTGTTACTTTTTAATAATAATTTGTGCATTCTTAAATAATTTTAAAACCATATTTTTATATTTTGTCAATTTTTTTAAATAGCCATGTTTTAACTCTTTCTTCTTCTTCCTCGCCTTAATCCCAACTACTTCCATTTGACACGATCTCCCACATCCTCTACGCTCACATCAGCTGTCTTCATATCGCAATCAATAACATCTCTCCATCTCTTTTTTGGTCTTCCTCTACCTCTTCTTCCTTCAACATTCATTTCTACAACTTTTTTTGTGGATTCCGATTCTTCTCTTCTCATAACATCTAATCATCTAAGTCTATTTTCTCTCATCTTATCCACGATTGACGCTACACTTATACTCACTCTTATATGCTCTTTTCTAATCCTATCTTCTCTAGTCACTCTACTCATCCATCTAAGTACTCTTATCTCTGCTCTACTTTCTTATCAACCGCTCAACACTCTGAACCATACATCATAGCTAGCCTTATTACAGTCTTATAGAATTTACCTTTCAGCCTCATTGGAATTCTTTTATCGCATAAGATACCGGACGTTTGTCTCCACTTCAACCACCCGCACTTAATCCTGTGTTATACATCCTCGTCAATAGCACCGCTCTTTTGCACAACTGATCCTAAATACTTAAAACTTTCCACCTCTTCTATCACATGCTCGCCTATTGTCACTCATCTCCACATTTCACTTACCTCGAGTTCTCCTTTGTCAAACTCGTACTCTATATACTCTGTCTTACTCCTACTTATTCTTAAACCCTTTTCTTCAAGAGCTGATCTCCACACCCCTTGCCTTTGATTAATTTCCACCCTATTTTCTCCTATTAACACTATAGCGTCAGTAAACAACATGCACCACGGCACCTCTCATTGTATTTCTTTAGTAATTTCATCCATCACTATAGATAATAAGTAAGGGCTTAAAGCAGAACCTTGGTCCACTCCTACTCTTACCCGAAAACCTTCTGGTTCTCCTCCCACACTTTTTGCCCTAGTATAAGTGTCATCATACTTATCATCTATTATATTAATATACCTTTTCGGGACTCCATTTCTCATTAATGACCACTTTAAAACTTCTCTCGGTACTCTATCATATGCTTTTACCGAATCTATAAATACTATACACAGCTTTTTCTTCTTTTTCATAAACTTTCTATTAGTTGCCTCACACAAAATATTGGCTCTATTGTTGATTTACCAGGCATAAATCCAAACTGGTTTTTAGATACCGATGTCTCATTTCTTATTCTATTATCTATTACCTTTTCCCAAATTTTCATACTATGACTCATAAGTTTTATGCCTCTATAATTTCCACACTCCTGTGTGTCACCTTTATCTTTAAATATCGGCACCACAATACTATTCCTCCATTCATTTGAATTTTTCCCTTCTAATAAGATTTTATTTAAAAGTTCCTTCAAGCACCATATGCCAACACCTAATATTTTCCATACTTCTACTGGCACTTCATCTGGTCCTTCTGCTTTATTCTTTTTCATTGATGCCATAGCCTCCCATACCTCTTTCTCACTAATTAAATCTACCAGTCCCTCGTTCTACAAGATATCCTCTAATGTCTCTTTTGGGTACTCCTCATTCAGTAATTTTTCAAAATACTCTTTCCACCTTTGTTTCACATCATCATCACTCGAGAATACCCTATTATCAGCACTTTTTATATACCATATATAATGATAATCTTTAGTCTTTTTCTCTCTTACTTTTGCAAGTCTAGAGTTTCTGATACAAGCGGTACCTGGCAATAAAGATGCAGTGATAGGTGGATATATGAATGAACTTGTAGGCAATGAGAGGAAAGGATATGAAAGAATACATGGAGTGTATGGTTTTAGTGGGAAGAGTCTAAGTCAATTCAGTATAAAAATATAATTATATAATATGGATGTTTTTTCGAAGACTTTTATTTGTTTAGATGTGAATTATATTGGCATTTTTTATTAGTTTTTCTCTCACATTTTAATAAGTAGCCTCATTCATTTGAGAAACCCTATAAATCCAACAACTTAGAACTCAAATATTATTAGTAGTAGTAGCAGTAAGTATAAACCTGTGCTACCGTACTAACTACTTCAATATAAGTTATATTACATTTTTAATGCATTTTATGCTACTTTCCATCAATCAGTGAAAGTAGAGAAAGTATTTTACTTTGTGTCTAAAGCGATTAATAATAAAAAATATGACTTTAAAGTAATCTACAAATTCATAAATTATTTAAAAAAGGAGTAACACAAAATATTTAGTAGATCAAAAATCATTAGATTTGACAAAATATTTTGGATTAATTTCATTAATTTATTCTAAAAAAAATGTAGTTATTTTTCATAGTAATTAGTTGATCAAATGTTGTTTATTCCAGACATAAATTTCCAATGTGTTTTTTAAAAATTATTATTTTGAAATTTTTGAATCAATTTTGAATATTTTATTTATTTAATGTCATTTAATTTGAATTCTAAAAAAAATGTAAATTAAGCCCATATATATATATATATTATTTAGAATTTATTGCAAAATTTCGTTACCATTCAATATTAGCTTCGATGCGAAGCTGAGAAGGTATTAATTTTACTATGATGTGTTTTTTTTTTTTTTGTCTGTTACCACTTTTTCTCAGCTCTCACCGAACCGATTTCTTTCAATGATACGTCAAAAGATCACAGATCGTATTTAGTCGAAGACATTACCCACAAAAATTGAAAAAATTTCCCTCGTTCCTCGTAAATGGTGGAAACCTCCAAAAAAATTACAAATTTTAATATAATTTTTTCAATTTTTTTTTACTTAAAATTGCTATAACTTTTTTAAAAAGAACCAAATCAATATAATTTTTTTTTATATAGATGCATGATATCATTACCTTTCATTTGGTATATTTTTTTTTATATGTGACCCTTTACTTATACTTGATCCAACTATGCCACGTCACCACTGTGCCGCGACCCCCTTGTTCTGGTTTTTTTTATTACAAAAGAAAATATTTAAAATTTGAATTTTATTATATAGATATAGCCTATAAGTTATAAAAATTGTTGGTTAGGTTTTTTTATATTATAATAAAGTGTTAATTAATAAAATATATAAATAAATGAATCATATAATTAAATTACATAGTTGACTATGATGTCAGGCCTAAAAAATTAAGTGAATAATATTCATTTAACAGTTGACGTTTGTTTACTAGGTATTTATCTGAAGCGTATTAAAAAATGAATTTAAAACGGTTTTTAATTTTTTTTATTTTGGTAATTTAACATGACTGGTCTAAGCAGGGTATTCACTTCCATTCCTCTTTAAATACGCCACTGGTATACACAATAATTATCACCACTGTGCCGCGACCCCCTGTGCTGGGTTTTTTTTAGTTTTGAAATCGTCATATTAATATATTAGTTTATACAATACATCTATAATGGATGTATTATTGAATAAGGAGTACATAAATGTTTTCTTTATTCATTAATATGAAAATTTATACTTAGCCTTCAAGCCCAGCTTGGGCCAAAATAAAGAAATTTTTTTTTTAAATAATTGTAATTAATATAACTATATGGAAATATTAAATTTTATTTCAATAATTACAGGAAGGTGTATATGTATATGGATTATTTTTGGATGGGGCTAGTTGGAATAAAAAATCAAGTGTATTACAAGAATCCCTGCATAAAATACTAATAACAGAAATGCCAGTGATTCATATTTATGCAATAAATTTAACAAAACCTCGAACGTTAACCGGTTATCAGTGTCCAGTTTATAAAAAACCAAGAAGAACTGGTTTGTTTTACATTTGCCAATTAAACTTAAACACACCGCCTGATCTTCATGGAGAACATTGGATATTAAGAGGCGTAGCATTGTTATGCGATGTTAAATAAATAAAGAATATAATTTGCTTTACATTTTACTAAAATCATATTAATTTCATAATTATAAAACTTAAAATATAAGTTTTTATGTGTAGTAAATAGCTAAGGAAGTATTGAATAACGTCAATTTCAGTATAGTATAAGTTTTACAACAGTAGTAAGCAATTTTTGAATTCTTAAACAATATAATAATGTCATATAAAATGAAAATGCAGGGTAAGCAATTTAATAATAGTGGGATAAAGAATATAAAGGGGAACATGAAAAGTATAAGGCGATTGGCGTGTTAGGGCAGATAGTGCTGCAGATAGAAACTGTGGGTAGCCATGCTCACGCCTTCCTATTATGTAAGGTTAATTTTTTCTGTTGTTATCGTTGTTGATTAAATTAAAAATAATAGTCGCTCGGCTTTTTTTTATTATTCGTTCTGTTGGTTCTATTCAATTTTTTTTGTTGTTTTATAATTATTTTGTAAGTCGTCCAGACGAAATATTTTTGTAAGTCGTCCAGGCAAATAATTGTGTGTAACGTCGTCCAAACGAAATCTTATTGTAAGCCGTCCAGGCAAACTATTGTGTTGTTGTTCCATCAAATATTTAAGCATTGAATAAGTCAATACCATTAGGTAAGACATTGCATTATACGTTTTATTTGTTCCTATTATTATTATTGTTTATTTAAGCATTTATAAATTATTATACTGTTCAATAATTGAATCGGACTCATTTATTTAAATATTAAATTTCTTCTCTCTTTATTCATAAAAAAAAATATACAGTCCACTATAAAAAAAAAAAAGGTGTCGCGTAAGCGCATTATTATTATCTGCCCGCGCCCTAACATGGCGTTTTGACGAAGAGACGTTGAGCTACGGGTCAGGACGTTTATGTGCGAGTAACTTTGTATTTTGTACGATTTAATTTTGTGTTACATTTTTGTATTACATTTTGACTTTGTGTTTTTACGTATCATAAATAAAATAACTACTTAAAAATCTGTACTCGAGAGTAAATACTTTATATTCGTCGTGTTATTAAAAATTGTGTGTGTGCAGCAAGAGTCGAGATTGGACTACTGGTCTTTTAGTTGATCATAACAATTAGTGTGCGTACTGGCTAGTATTTGGGCTTAACTGTCCTTTAGTAGGTATAGTGAAAAGGTAGTTGTGCTGTTGGCTGACGAGAAGCCACCCTTCAATCTGCTACTTTTGAGCTAGACCGTACTGACGGGTCAAAACTCTACCCTTTTGGTAGTTCACTAATTGGAGTGATTGGGGCTAACCAGCGTATCAAAACGGGGGGACTCGAGAAGAGCTAAAAACGACAAACTCGTCGTCAAAAACATTAGTTAATTTGTGTACTACTTTTGTGTCTACGTCGGGGTATTACCGACATATGACATATATTTTACAAAGAAACTCACATAGATAAAAAAATATATGTATATTATGAATTATTAATCTGTGTACTTAATTTTTCTTGTAGCTCATCAACCAATATATTTATTACTGTTTTATCAAATATCAAGGAGTTGAATAAAATTTGATTAAAAATAAAAACTAATTTTGAAAGGTATTTGAAAAACGAGTTGGTCTATACAGGGTGATTGGCTAATTATGCCTCACGTAATATCTTAAAAAATACAAATGTTATAAGTAATTTTTTTTTTAAATTATTATGAATCTTTAATGAGGTGTTTCACAAGAAAATTTAAATTTCTACCACCATCCCTTATGCTTAAAACTTATATCAACTTCATATTTTCAAATGGCAACCCTATTCTTTTTACACCATTAGTTTAATAAAAAAAAAATATTTTGTTTTGTTTAATAGTATTAAATTCAATTTTAATTAGTTAAAGTCTAAATATGTTTCTGAATAAAACGGGTGTACAGTGTAATTCTCCAAATTATGCGTCGAATTAAATTAACGTTGGTTTTCCAGTGATGGTAAGTCAGGGTAACAAAATTCAATGTATCAAAGTCTGATATATTTTTGAGATGAGTGATAAAAAAGGACGCGTAGCGGTATTATGGTTGTTTCTGAAATAACTGTATTAAATAAAGAACTTGTTAAATGTTTTAAAGTGATTTTAAATATATTGGCGTGTAATGTTGTAAATCCAAAAAAATATGAGAATTATGCAAAAGATATTTTTATGATCTATTTGAAATTATATCCGTGGTTTAGAATACCTCCAAGTTTCCATAGGATCTTAATACATGGCTCAAAAGTTATTGAACTTGTTAATTTTCCAAAGGGTAGTTTATTTGAGGAAGCGTAAAATAATGATTATACAGTTGACTCGCGATAGTCCGACACGCTTGGTAGTCCGGCAAGTCATCGGTTTAGATCTCACGAATCGCTGTTAGTTTCTCGCTGTGTTCAGTAGCATTAACTTGAGTGTGCAGTTGCTTTATTTGTGATATTATTACATTTAACTCTACGTTTTTTATTATTAAGTGTAATGGCAAGTACAAGTAGAAGCAATAAACGTAAACATATAACATTAAATCTTCTTAAAAAGTGGGAAATTATTAAGAGGAATGATCGCGGCGAGACTCCCACGGCTATTTCTCAAGTTTATGGTATAGACCTAGTTATTTTTTGTACAGTGTTAAGAAGATAGTTAGGCTTACGTTATTTATTTATCTTAACCTGTAAAACTGATTCATTTTGTGTTATGATTTTAATATTAAATAAATTTCTCTTCTTTTGTAAAAACTAAAGCCTGACTTCATTATTTTGAATCTTTTCTAGTGAAATATTACATAAAAATACATCGTTAACTAGATTTCCAAACTTCTCTCTACAAATTCAATTAAATAGAGCCAACCTTTGGTAATTCGACACCCCCGCGGTCCCGTAGTGTCGGACTATCGCGAGTCAAGTGTATCACATTTAGACGCCATAATACTCGTAAAACTTTGTATAAGATACTAACATAGACCATATACATATGCTTTTCATTTCATATAATCCTCTCATTATTTTTATTAGTTTGAGTATAAAAGTATAAAAGAAAAAAAATTGTGCTCTGAAGCATTGATTTTATTAAACAATAATTTTGAAATCGATAATCTGAAGAATCTGTGTAACATTCAAATAGTAATTCCAAAACTATAATGCAAGTGATTACTTTGGTAACTTGGATAGCTATATTAGTCAAAACATGTAACTTATTGGTTTGATACAAAATATTTGTAAATTGAATAAATTCGGACAAAGTGTGCTTTCGTAATCCAGTTTTTATTTAAGTTATTATATTAATTAAAATGGCTAAAAAGAATGCTCAGTCGTCTATCAATTAGATGGCTATTAGTGAACTTGTTCCAGAAGCTGAAAAAGCTATTTATTTATCTTTTAAAACTAAATTTGATGGGTACCTCAGAAAGTATGTAACGGTCATTTAAATATCATATTTGACCGAATTAAATATTTATCGCTAAATATTTCTTACTTTAAAATTTTATAGATTAATATAATGTGATAAATAAGTAAAAAAAATATATAAATTTACATTACTAATATATATTTTAATTATTGAATGAAATAATTTACAAAATGTTTACATCATGCCCAGAAGCACCTAAAATTGATTGGTCCAAATATAAGAATGCTATTCGTATCACTGATTTATTAGAAAATTTTGAAAAGCAATACAATGCTGTTAAAATTCCATATCCTGAAGACAAATATACAGCATCTGTTGATGGCTTTGAAAAAAAAATGTACATATACTCTTTGTTTATTCATATATATTTTTATTACTATTTAGAAAATTTTCTTTAAAAATATTGCATTCAGATTTAAATTTTGTAATGTGAATAAACTAAAGTAATGTGTTGTATAAATACATTTGGAAAAATAATCAAATTTTACTTTTTAACTAGCCTTAATTTCAATGAATGTACCATTATTACCATACTCCACATAAATGTTAGGCTTGATTTTTTCAGTTATTTTATTTTATTGTTGAATTCATAATGTTTTTTTAAGAAATTGTTGCCATATTCCCAAATGACTTATAAAGATGCTGCTTATATTGAGCCTGATTTGACATTAGGTCTTGAAAACAAGCCATCATTCTGGCCTCATCAAGAAATGAATGTATTTGATAAGCCACAAGAAGAAGGATCAGAAAAACAAAAAAAAAGTTGAAGCTGGTCATTAAGTTATTCATTTCTTAGTTAAAATATAATTTTACCCAATTTTCAAAAAAATATTGGAATAAATATTTATATAAAAGAAAAATATTTTGTAGTTTCATTATAAATTGTTTTATTTCATAAAAATTTTAGTTAATTTTAATAAGATTTGATTACAGAAAAAAAATTGAATATCAAATTGTATTCATAACTGTTTGAGATTATATAATCTTTTGAGAGCTAAATTACGAGATTCACCGAGCCCGTGGTTAAGCTAAGTCACGCTCATGTTAACGGTATTTTTATTACAATCCGTGGTAATTTCATCTTTGAACGGTAGCGCCACACAAAAACGACCCGATATATCACAGCGTTCATCCACTGTTGTAGGAAGTAGTAGAGATGACAGTTTTTCTATTGTCCAGAAATGACGCACCAAACTGTCAACAGAAAAGTCACGGCAAGTGATGATAATGGCTGTGGCGAGGTGTCAGTGAGCGAGTCTGTAATAATATCCATTAATAACCATAATAACCTACTAATATCCATCCTAGATAGGTGTCAAGCGCGGAGAGTAAACTTTTTATGTGTATGATCTCCGCCTTTGGACGTACAGTATGTGAAAAGATATCTCCGCCCAACAACATATCAATCATACCGGTTGTTTCAAAATGAGTCGGCAAACAACAAGTCCTGATATTGCTCAGGAACTTTCGGTGGTTAACGCGTAGTCGACATGTAAAGAATGATTCTAATGCATAGTGTGGTATAAACGTGCATTTAGAATTGCCCTTTATTTGGTTTACACAGTTTTGCGCTAAGCCGACTATCTTGGAGTGGGATTTACGACGTGGTAAGCCAAGACGTGATAAACAGTCTGACGTAATCGCTGATATTTGAGGTATCTACCGTTCATTAACACACACATACGTTGGTAAAAACCGGTGTTTTCACGAACACGCATGAACCCAATACTACGGTACTCTATGTATATGAAGTACCTGAAAATTTCGGTGTCGTATCACCTGTTTGATCAACACTTGACGAAGTAGATAGCACAATTTAATCCATGTGCAAAATAGTGAGGTGTTTTTTCTCGCACCTCTAACATGACGAGTTTAATGTGCATGATGATGCAACATGACTCGGTTTGAGACACGAAAAACATAATTTGTGCGCAGAAACATGTTCACGCCTTTTTTGAACAGGCTCTAAAGGGAATGCGCACCTGTTTGACAATAAGAACACTGAATTTTATTTTGAACGATAGACTCTAGATTGTTAAACGCGACGGTGGCTAATGAATGTTTCGGCGACTGCGAATTTTTCTGTATCGAACGCGACGCGGCTAGATTTGAACCTTTAAGATTTTCCAAAATTTTACAACATTGCTGAACAAACTTCAGCAAGTCATCTATAGTAGGAATAATCGATTAGAATATACTGTTTTCAAATAGGTGACTCGTCGTGTTATTGAGTACACGAGAAGCAATATAAAAAAGCAAAATACTACACAGGTCGTCTGCGCTTAATATTTTGATTGCCTCAATATTTTTTTTGAACACATTCAAAAAAAGTTGCAAAGATAAAAGTGATTCACTATTCATAGGTCTAAATGAAAAAATTTTGTCCAAGTGTGCAGTTGCTAACACTCATTTGATTTCATACCTATCAGTAAGTGCGTTCTACGCTGTATCATAATTGGCTTCCGTAATTGGTAAAAATTTTATGACAGCGAGCGCGGAGCCGGACAAACACGAAAGAAGGAAATGGAATTGCCTAATTTCATTGGAATCGACGTTCATAATAGATTTAAATGTATCACTGAAAGTAGTCCAGTTTGTAATACTACCATCAAATTTTAAGTTCATATTCGCATACAGTAACGTATTTATAACGTATGAGAATGGTTGGGCGCAGTAACAATGGGTTGCGGGTTGTTCACGTTTTGAATTAATAACGCAGCAGCACTAATATCATGAAACATGTTTTCCATTTCGACGGTCACCAGCGAATCGATACTATCGAACTTTTCGACGCGATCGAGTTCTATTAACGCGCTTATAATAACCATTTTTCCAGAACACTGACGAACGCGTACTTCAAGCTGTTCTTTAATACTAATGTCTGACTTAACCTTAATGGCAAATTTATGAATTTCAGTAATTGGCTTAAAGGAATTGTTCTGTAAAGTTCGTGCTCCAAATAAGTTTTTTCTTCCAGATTTCCTTTAACATTCCTCGGGACCATTATTGTGATATTGTGTATTTTGAGTATAATTTAAAAAAACTAAGAAGGTCCTAATTTAAAATAATAAGTATTAATAAGGATGTAAAAAAACATTTTAATTATTAGTTATTAATAATATACGTCGACAGTAATTTGAATTTTTAAAGTTGATCCGAGAGGAGTCCAGGGAATTTAATTATATCATTAAAAAGGTGATTAAATTTCACACAAAATAGTATTAATTACTAAGGAGAGAAATACGGTTCTCGCTCCTAATAAGTCAAGTTGGTACGGCGGTGTTTATGATAGTAAGTGTATATATATGCTTCCACCATACGTCAGTTCTTTGTTGTGTATACGACCACTAAATTGGTTTATTATATGCTTTTTGTTATATGTGGCTACATCTAGTGGTAAGAAAAAGCGTTATACAATATAATTATTTGGTGACTAATATTATATTATTACTTATAATATTAACATATAATATGATGTTATCATTTGTACATTTTTGTCACATATTATGATTATACAAGATCACGGTAGGGCTCGCTGGGCTACTCCCTTCAAACTACAAAAACCCATTTTTCCCCGTCTAAACCAGTTTTTTCGGCGATTTTAAAATACTAAAATCTACGACACTCTATTCAAGATTTCATTTCTCGGGACTTAGTCGTTTTTTTTAAATTAATTTGGACTTAGAATTTATGTCGTTAAAACTAAATGATACTTAGCAATTTTAAAGTGAATTTTGTTTTGGTGAATCTTTTAATTTAATTTAATTTGTTCATTAAATAATAATCTTTTTAATTATTTTATTTTAATAATAAATCCAACCCAATTTAAAATTTTTATTTAATAGTAAAAATAATATAAATAATAATAAAGTATTGTGAGCTTTTCTTATTGGGTAGCTAGTCTCTAAGCTTAATGTCTTTGCTTTAATTAGCATCGCGCCGGCGGACAGAATAAAGATTGTAACTAGATATTATTCTAGAATTAGGTATATAAAGTGAGAATATATTTGTAAGCCTATGTGTATTGGGTAGCTAGTCTTTGAGCTTAATGTTGTAATAAAATTTATTACTAAGTTCTCACCACTTATATTATACACGTTTTATTTTCATTTACTTAATTCGTAATACATATTAATTGTCATAGAGGGAGATGCTGATGTGACAATTCTACTTGTCTGTAGCCCGAAGCTACTGATGTTGAATTAACAAAGGGCAGTTGTGTTTGAGTGGTCGTTATAGACATAGTTTTCAATACTATTACTTTCGTCTTATTTATATTATTTATAACTTAACTTGTTTTATTCAACGACCCGTCTATCGCCAATTGTCATCATAGCCAACTAACTCTGTTTCACTTGGATATACCTACTAATCAACTGTACTAGGATTCAGGTCAGACGTATTGTACATTACATATAACTTATATTTACTGAACATCTAGAATATAACTTTACTTTGTCGTTGACATAAAACAATAGTCAAATTTTATTTAATAATCTATCCCCTGTAACTAAGGTACACGATTGCCTGTGTCTCCTTCAGGTAATTAAAACTCCTTTAAGAAGATAGGGTCGATATTTAGGCAGACGTCGGGTAGCTTCCGATTCTTTGTTTTGACCAAGATCCTCAGCTATTAAACTAGTCCCTAACGTATGGTGGAGGCGCCGGTCTTTGTATTTTAATCGAGTTCCGAGTTATACTTTCTATTTTTTTAAGGCACTCATATACAAAGTCGATTCCCCTAAAGTGTACATGAGTTACAGTTAGATTATTTAAGTAAAATTTTTTATTATTAATATTATAATTTTTTCTGAAATGTCAATTGCTGTTTGGGCGTAATAATAATTTCTATCATTTTGGTTTTGTTTATTAGTGTATAATTTATAAAAATATGCAAAATTTTATCGAAGCGTTATCATATTCGAGAGATGTGGAAACAGATACAGATAAATATCTTAAGTATTTTGATCGCGTAGCAAAAGCAAATGAATGGGATGATAATAAAAAACTTTCTATGTTACCCTTATATTTACAGGATCAATCAATTAAAATATTTGAATTTATAGAATATCGATCGACAAATTTAAATTGGGAAGATGTTAAACTGTCATTAATTAATTTTAACTCTTACAATAATCTAAATTTAATAAGAAAAAATTTAATAATGATGAAAATGACGGATAGTGAATCGGTTAAAAATTTTTTAGTAAGAGTAGTAGCAAAATGTCGTAGGTTTGAGGATATCATGTCGGAAAAACATATTATAGAGTACTTTTTTAAGGGATTACCAGATAGAATAATTAATATATTTATGTCATTGTATAATAGTACAGTAGATTAACTAATAGAAAATATTTTAAAAATTGAAAAAAATACATATTTGAGAAAATACAATAACGATTAGGAAATTTTAAAAATGGAAAAAGATTCTCTTTTAAAAAAGCATAATGGAAAATTTAATGATTATGGAAACATAAGTTATGTAGGTAACCAAAGTTTAATGTCATATCCAAATCATAATCAGCGTGGAGTAATGAATTATAGAACTAATAAATATAGAAAGAACAAATTAAATAACAATTTTAGAAATAATGTAAATAAGAACTATAATAATAAAAGTTATAGAGGAAATTTTTATAGATTTAACAATATGAATAGGTACTTTTATCATAATAATAAGCGCGTTATCTATAGTTTTATACGAAAATCACCACATTATCTTCAAAATAATCCTAATCTAGAGAATATACACTATCAGTTTCAACAT